TGCATTTGGAGCCCAGCGCAGCCTCTTCGTGGGCGGGGCTGGGGTTGGTCCCAGCACCCCATGGCCCTCAAGGAAGGGAGGGGCAGCTGCCCAGAGCTTCAGGGCCTGTGGAAATCCAGGGTAAGATCAGATTGGAATCAGGAGCTTCGAGGCTGGTCGGTGACCGCCACCTCTGGCAGCTGAGAGGGTCCCCAGCCACCATGGTTACCTCGGTCATCTTCCCCAGCGCTGCATCCCGCCCCGCCCTGGGTCTCAGGTGGAAGTCCTGGCCTCCCTGGCGCTCACACTGCCTTCCGTTCTCCTCGGGCTCCTGCTCCAGCGTCTCCCCCCACAGCCCCTGTGCAGCTGCCCTTCACAGTCTGAATACAGCCTCTCAGCGACATCGTCACTGGGCATTCAGGGCTCGGCCTGCACACAGGACCTCCCAGCAGCACATGGGGCAGCTGCAGGTGCCACCCCCACTTCACAGACAGGGAAAGCGAGCCCCAGAGAGGCCGTGCCACCTACCTGGCGTCTCCGAGCGGGAGATTGGCGATGGTGCCTCGGAGCCAGCAGACCTGGGTGCCCACCCCATCCATCCCCCTCCTCAAGCCTATGTGACTTTCCTGGGCCTCAGCTTTCTTGAGGGGCACCGGGCTCTAGCCACACCCAGGCTGGCACAGAGCTCGGCATGGTGAGCACCTGGTTATTCTTATTAGAGGAATCCCAGGCCTGTGGCCTTAAGGGGACCTGCTTCGTCCTCCCCGGGTCCCAGGCCAGGGAAACAGGCCTGTCCCTTCTCACCATCCAGCGATTTAGCAACTCCTGCCCCCGCCCCGCCCCCCACACCCAGAAGCAGCAGGTCCAGGACAGAAACGGCTGAGTGGGTGACCCTCAGCCTGCTGTGAGGGTCCGTGTTCCCGGGAGCCCTGGCCTGCCAGCCCCGGGACCTCGGGTGAGGCAAGAAGGGGAAGCAGAGTGGGGATTGGCAGGAACAGTGAGGGGCCAGCGGCCAAGGGAGCAGGATACGGACAACACACCTTCCACCCCGGCTGGGTACCACACCCACTGCCTACCTGACCCGGGGTCTGCAGCTGAGGCCGGCCAAGGTGCCCCATCTCCCCAGGGTCAGGCTGCCCTGCTCCCCGCCCAGCCTCGGTGGGGGGTGGGGCCCCAGGCAGGCTCCTTGCTGTCTGTGCCTGATCTCCATCTCCTCCAATGGGGAGACCAACGGGGCCCCTCCCAGCTGTCCTGGTTAAATGAGTCACTCAGGCACAGGTGATGGCACCTGACTTTTTAATCCTCACCTGAGGATATTTTCCCATTGATTTTTAGAGAAAGTAGGAGGGAGAGAGACAGAGACAGAGAAACATCCATGTGAGAGAGACACATTGATTGGTTGCCTCCCGCACAGGCCTTGACCAGGGCCAGGGATTGGGTCTGCAACCGAGGTATGTGCCCTTGACCGGAATCGAACCTGGACCCTCCATAGGCCGGCACTCTATCCACTGAGCCAAACGGCCAGGGTGGAATCTGACTTTCTTATGAACTTAGGCAGCTCAGATGTGCCCAGGATGGTGGTGGACTTGGGGAACCCTGTCATTTCTGGGTCCTTTGCGAGGTCACAGGCCCAGGGCCCCCCCAGACCCTAGTGGAAGGCAGCCTTGGCTTCCATGCATGCCTGGTTGTGCCCGGCTCCTCGCTCCCCAGCGGGCAGCTCCTGGGGGCCAACCAGCAGGGGGCAATATTGGGTGAGTTTGCCTCAGTGTTGCCAAGAGAGGCTGCTGGAAGGTTCCATCCAGATTTCCACTCCCCCCCCTCCGCCAAAAACCAGAGCTCCCACCCTCACCTTGAAGTGCACCACTCCAGTGCCCGGTGCCGTGCCTTACATTTTTGTGGGTTCTGCCAAGGCTCTAACGAAAGTGCAAACAACCCTGGGAGGCAGGAGAGGGTGGGGTGCTGTGCCCCAGCCCCCATCAGAAGTCTGTGAGTGACAGCGGGACCGAGGGGCGGGAGGAGCAGCGCGGCTTCAGTGGGCGCTCCCTGCTCACAGGAAAACGCTTCGTTAACCTCAGGAGGACAGCAAGCGCTCTCTCATCCCACCTTGTGACAAGGAAACTGAGGCAGAGAGAGGGTGAGTGTCTTGCCCAAGGTCAGGCCTAATATTAAGAGGCAGAGCCGGGGACACCAGCCCAGATGCGGGTCCAGAGGCCGCAGGCTCTTGCTCCTGGGTCTCCGCAGGGCCAGGCGCCTTCCTCCCAGAAAAAGAGTGGAGCCTGGGGCCGAGAGGGGCTCTGAGCATGTCCCTTTCTGCCACACCGCCACCCTCTCTAAGGGCCATGGTGCCCGAGGTAACTGCCCCAACCAGAGCCAGAGGCCTGTGGGGTCAGCTTGGCCCCAGTCACACCCAGTGGGCCGGGGAGGGCTCCAGCCAGGCTCTCAGCACAGAGGCCCCTTGGGCCGCCATCCTGTTGGCTGCAGCAGGCTCTGCCCTCGGGCCATGGAGTTTCTAGAAAGCTGAACGCATTGTGACAGCAGCCATTGCACAATAGCGGGCAGCCCTGGAGGCACTGACTCCGGCTCGACTGGACTCGCTCTTGATAAACACCACGCCAGCTGGTGGGTGTTCTCACTGCCCCCTAACGAGCAGGAGAGTGGGTGCTAGGACCCCCAACGATGAGTTAAGTCTAGTGGGGGGAGGGGGTGAGAAGGAGGGGGAGGTCCAGGGAGGAGGACAGGATGAAACTGGGTATTTATTACACATGTGACCCGGTGCAGCAGGAGCAGAGCCAAGGGGCCTTGTGAGGTGTGGGAGGGAGTAACCAGGGTGGGCTGCCTGAAGGAGGCATCAGGCAAGCTGAGACCTGAAAGGAGGAAGTCAGAAGGGCAGGAGGAAAGGGTCCCCCGGGTCCTTGGCACCAGGCCAAGGAACGAATGCGGCAGAGCGCTCCTCTGTCAAGTAAACAGGTGGGGCCCCGGGGGAATGTCGGGCCTCTACTCCACCTGCCAGCCCTGGCTGGTGACTGCCCCTCAACCCCTTGTCCCCACTATTCCC